AGACAATCGGTTGGAAAAAATGAGACAATTCTTCATCGGTTGCGCACCTCTTGTTCACAATATACACAAAGACTCGATTCACACATCTGTTAGTCTCTCACTATTTTTTAGATAAGTTTATATAGTTTTTGATTTCTTTCAAACAGAATAAATGTACGAATAATTATGGCTTAAAATCTGAGTCAAGCGGTTCTGTTGCCGTCGATATTGATGTCCTCATCCAGAATCAGTAATAATGAACAACTAATCCATATTTTATGATATTTTTAATGCTAATTGAATCACACATTTTCCAGATCTCCTAAGATTGTGAACAAAAATAAATATCAAATAAAGACCACTTCATTGAATTCAATGAAACAGAATATATTGTCTGTAGTTCTGGCCTTTCAGAGGGCGAAGAAGAGAATGGATACCATTAGGACTCAATTGAACGATACAAATGGATTCTGATGTCGATTATCTCTTTCTACATAAATGTGTAAAAACCAAACATTCAGTATTAAAATAATTGCAAAACAAAACATATCAAAAGCACTCAAACGATAAACTGATTTAAAAATAATCACAATTATTGTAATTCGTATTAATCTAATTATACTAATAAATGATATTGGTTGTCAAAAACAAGAATATTCTGTACATTTCAGGGCAAACATGTATCGCCTCTAAAACACCGACGATCACTAGTCATTATGTCTATTGATAAGCCCATAGTATGTAATCATTAAAAAAGTATCTAAATCTACAATAAATATGAATCGGAACTGAGTTTGTGGCCAAAAGTGGCCAACTTTTGTCACACTTTCGTAATCACCGAAAAACGTCACGTTATTTATGTGTCGCGAAAAAAGGTTTAACGCAATGATTGTTGTACTGAATGTGTCGATCGATTCCATGGCAACCATTGACTCGCGATTTGTGTTTATATTTTATTAGCGATAATTGCATTGAATTGTATTGAAAGCAGAATTCATTCATTCAATCATTCATTCAATTGTATTGTCGTTACGAATATTCATATGTTTTTTGGGCACTAATTATGCATCGAATCAACGCTTGAATACATTAATGAATATATGACTCAATCCTCGCATTCATTGCATATATAATTGAATTGACTATTGATTGACGATATAATCAGTGATGAGTTCTGTTTCCGTCAAACAGTCCAATAAAAAGCAGACTTTTATGAGACAATCGCGACATCGGAAGGACGTGACCATCGATGGCAAGCATCGCATCACCGAAGAGGAGCTCATCGATAGGGCGGTCGTCACTCCCGAAGACGTGATCCGTTTGCCAGCGATTACTAAACGTTTGTATTTAATCCATACTATCCTCTCATACCGTGAATATCATCGCAAATAGATCTCTACTTTAGTGACCACTTCTTTGCCCGCATTGAGTCATTGAGTCCCACATTTGTGTTGTGTTTAACCCAATAGTTATGCCATTATTTGATAGGATTGTAGTATTGAAGGCATTATTGTAGTGAACGGCACATAAGAGTGTGATTTGCGGTCAAATTGTATGATAATTAACGTCTGGATTGATTGTCTCATTGATAGAGTACTTATGCAGTCCTGACGCCAATGTATACGACATAGAGTTCACTCGCTTTAAGATCCGAGACCTGGAGAGCGGACTCGTGCTCTTCGAGATCGTGAAACCCCCGCCTCCCGAACCCCTCGATGACGGCCGACCCAACGATGACGACCAGGAGATGGACGCCAATTGCGGCCGTTTTGTTCGCTATCAGTTCACCTCTCAGTTCTTGAAGCTGAAGACTGTGGGCGCCACGTAAGTGACCACTCAATTGATTCACACCAATCATGTGTTGAATATTGTGGTATTAATTTGTCGTACTTTTCTGCGATTGTGTGCAAAACCAGTGTTGAGTTCCGGATTGGAGACAAACCCATAAACAACTTCCGGATGATTGAGCGCCACTTCTACGGCGACCGACTCCTCAAGACATTTGATTTCAACTTTGGGTTTAATTGAATTCAATGAAACAGAATATATTGTCTGTAGTTCTGGCCTTTCAGAGGGCGAAGAAGAGAATGGATACCATTAGGACTCAATTGAACGATACAAATGGATTCTGATGTCGATTATCTCTTTCTCTACATAAATGTGTAAAAACTAAACATTCAGTATTAAAATAATTGCAAAACAAAACATATCAAAAGCACTCAAACGATAAACTGATTTTAAAATAATCACAATTATTGTAATTTGTATTAATCTAATTATACTAATAAATGATATTGGTTGTCTAAAAACAAGAATATTCCGTAAATTTCATGGCAAACATGTATCGCCTCTAAAACACCGACGATCGCTAGTCATTATGTCTATTAATAAGCCCATAGTATGTAATCATTAAAAAAGTATCTAAATCTACAATAAATATGAATCGGAACTGAGTTTGTGGCCAAAAGTGGTCAACTTTTGTCACACTTTCGTAATCACCGAAAAACGTCACGTTATTTATGTTATGCGAAAAAAGGTGAACGCAATGATTGTTGTACTGAATGTGTCGATCGATTCCATGGCAACCATTGACTCGCGATTTGTGTTTATATTTTATTAGCGATAATTGCATTGAATTGTATTGAAAGCAGAATTCATTCATTCAATCATTCATTCAATTGTATTGTCGTTACGAATATTCATATGTTTTTTTGGGCACTAATTATGCATCGAATCAACGCTTGAATACATTAATGAATATATGATTCAATCCTCGCATTCATTGCATATATCATTGAATTGACAATTGATTTACGATATAATCAGTGATGAGTTCTGTTTCCGTCAAACAGTCCAATAAAAAGCAGACTTTTATGAGACAATCGCGACACCGGAAGGACGTGACCATCGATGGCAAGCATCGCATCACCGAAGAGGAGCTCATCGATAGGGCGGTCGTCACTCCCGAAGATGTGATCCGTTTGCCAGCGATTACTAAACGTTTGTATTTAATCCATACTATCCTCTCATACCGTCGATATCATCGCAAATAGATCTTTACTTTAGTGACCACTTCTTTGTCCGCATTGAGTCATTGAGTCCCACATTTGTGTTGTGTTTAACCCAATAATTATGCCATTATTTGATAGGATTGTAGTATTGAAGGCATTATTGTAGTGAACGGCACATAAGAGTGTGATTTGCGGTCAAATTGTATGATAATTAACGTCTGTATTGATTGTCTCATTGATAGAGTACTTATGCAGTCCCGACGCCAATGTATACGACATAGAGTTTACTCGCTTTAAGATCCGAGACCTGGAGAGCGGACTCGTGCTCTTCGAGATCGTGAAACCCCCGCCTCCCGAACCCCTCGATGACGGCCGACCCGCCGATGACGACCAGGAGATGGACGCCAATTGCGGCCGTTTTGTTCGCTATCAGTTCACCTCTCAGTTCTTGAAGCTGAAGACTGTGGGCGCCACGTAAGTGACCACTCAATTGCTTCACACCAATCATGTGTTGAATATTGTGGTATTAATTTATTGTTCATTTTTGCGATTGTGTGCAAAACCAGTGTTGAGTTCCGGATTGGAGACAAACCCATAAACAACTTCCGGATGATTGAGCGCCACTTCTACGGCGACCGACTCCTCAAGACATTTGATTTCAACTTTGGGTTTTGTATTCCCAACAGTCATAACAGTTGTGAACATATTTATGAATTTCCGTCTTTGAGTCAAGAATTATGTAAGAATTGCATCTATTTTATGATATTTAACGTCAAATGATTTGAATGTGTTTTGAACTTTGTTTAGGCGATGAAATGATTGCTAATCCGTTTGAGACCCGCTCTGACAGCTATTATTTTGTGGACAATAGACTAATAATGCATAATAAAGCCGATTATGCATACAATGGAGGTCTGAGTTCTGTCGGCCAATAGATAAGAACAAATTAAATCATACGTCCTATAAATCAATCAATTTTTGACCAAAACTTTAAATACAAATATAATGCCGAGACTTTAAATGATGGGTTCAATGTTTGCTTGCAATACACAATCATATGTGCTATTATTATACATTCAATAGTGTGTAGTTTATACTGTTTGTTACATAAATATGAATACCGGTAATATTGATTACTTGATTCTAATTATAACACAAACCATAAACGTGTTATCGCTATTATGGGTCATCCCATACACCAAGTTATCCCATCGTTTGCCCCTTCAAACCCTCTGTGATGTGCAGTAAACACCGATTCCAATCCAAACACTGCCCGCAAACATGCATTCTATCAGAGCTTACTGTATGTGTATTGCGAGTCCTGCGGAGTATTGCAGGCAAACACCATTTGAAGCCATGATGTGATGTCTCGGTATACATATACTGTACTAACTATTCTATAAAAAGAAAATGATTTTATTTTCAATTGTGATTTTAGGTGAAAAATCTATTCTATCTGTTGAGCTAATAGTATATTATTGTTGACATACATTATATGTATGTTTTATTCTATAGTCAAACGCAAACACTTGTTATGAGATTTTAAAACATAAAAACTACAAATAACAGGAAAACACTTAAATATACAAAACTCTGTTTTATTAGACTTTTTTAGTTTTTTGGTTGTTTTGAACTCATATTTTGATTATAGCGTATATTTGTTTTGTGTTTATTATCGAGGGTTTAGGAGTGATATTGTAGTACTAGCTATAGTAACACAACAAATACTATCATAAACTAACCATAAGTAATAACTTATACTATAGTTTTTACTATTTAACTAATATTATATGTTATATTATATAAGAGTGCAGTAAAAGTTTTTTATTTCTGTCATTATTTGGCAATTATTATAACAAAACATACATAACAACAACATTTCCATTAAAATTCATGATTTCGACGAAAAAATCAATAGACATAACAGAATGACTAGAAATAACAAATTTTATGCCACTTTTCTATTCCACTTATTATCCGTCTATTACTATAACTAACGATAAATAGGTTGAGAAAAGCCCTCGATTTGAATGGATTTAAACGATAACATATACCGTATGTTCAGTACTGTATTTGGTATACAGAATATTCTGTGAAAACTTAATTACATTGTTCTCAAAACCAATACAGTTATTGATTTTACGCCAGCTTTGAGTCATTGCCTGTGACTCACTGTTAGTTATTTATATTTAATTAATTAATTAGTTATTTATTCATAAAACTGATAACGAATTAAGACAAACAAAAAACATTACATTATTATCACAATTCAATGAGAGACTGAAATTTACTGCAATAACTCTCTCGTATTTATTATTATTATTGTGTTATTTATTATATTAATATATGTTATATAATAATGATTATTAAAATTCATTGATTTATTGATTATATTTATTATTATAATCACAAATGAAAAACTTACTAATGAAATAAAATAAAAAACAATATTTACTATAATATCAAAAACGATTGTCCAAATGTATTGACACAACAACAACAACAATGTTTTATTTTAAATTAAATTATTTATAAATTATTATATGCTTTAACTATAAGTTATCTGTATATATAGATAATAATTAAATATTGATAATAATTAAAATATATATTACTTAACAATTATATCACATCTAAAAAGTAAAGATCAGTTAATTGACTGAAATCTGATTGATTGGAATGCATTACAAATTAATCTCAATTAATAGACTATAAAATACTTATCGATTAAAAACCTAAAGTTAACAATTAGTATGGGATCTGATTTTGATAGTATTGAATCATATCGTAAGTACGCGTACGGAAGTTGAGGAATGAGTCCCGAATAATCTTCAACATATAGACCGCCGCCTCCTTTTCGCTGGCGTTAGGCGCGAATCGGGCCCTCAATTGCTTCACTGTTTGGCCTCTAAAACAGGGCAAACCCGTGTCCAACATGAGCGACACCAACGATACGATGGGTTCCCGGTATGGCCTGACAGCGAGATATGCCTGAACGCACAACTCCTGGAACCACTTGAACGTCGGCGCCTCCATTTTGCCGCCCATTACTAACACCATTTCGTCCGTTAGTTTAATGTCCGGCTCGAAGCCCCAGTTCCCGCCCGGACTACTCTCAAACATAAAACCAAAATCTACAGCAAAAAAAGTTGATTGAAAATAATGGTCAGACCAGATGGACAGCGGTTTAGAATACAGTGACAATAGTATACCGATATGAATGATGTGTCCGTCCCTATCGATCATTATGTTTCCATTGTGTCTGTCTTTGATTTGAAGCAGAAATCCGATGACACTATAGGCGGCCATACTTTTGACAAAATTTCTGCGCGACTCCTGAAACCGATTGGAAGACTCGTCGCCATATGTCTTAAGGAAGTAATCGTAGAGAGAAATATCGGTTTCTCGACCCAATTGATCCCGGGATTTGGCGTTCGGCACGCATTCTATTACTCCACACTATTTGTGATATAATTGACAACTCATTCAATATTATGATTATTAGACACTAATTTAGTAAATGTCTTACACCGGGAGATGTGGCGATCACTTTGTATGGGAATAGAAAGACATCGATTCCCACTTTGAGGAATATGTTTTTGAATAAACCGATGATCTGAAGCGCCAACATATCCTACAAAAGCAAATCACATACAGTTAACAATTGACAAACAACTCACCGTTCAATGGTTTTACTCACTTGTCGGACATCATCGCCCACTTTAAAGATGGCCGCCTGCCATAGCTCTACGCCTAAAGACATTTTGTGATTATTGGTATTATTAGTGTCGGAAGACATGGCCAGTCGTTCGAGTTGATCGCTTCCACACAGCGATACCTTAAAACGTGCCAAAAACGGCGCTTTTGCTGCGCTTTGCAGTGGAATTCCCTTTTCGGGGTCGATATCTAAGACCAATGCCTCGGCATTTGATGGCAAATAGCAGCCCAACTGAACCTTTATTTTGCGAAGAGCTTTCAAAAGCGCTTCCTTTCGCTCTTTCCCTTTGGGATAATTGCGAATCTCTCCAGAAATGGCAGTTATTTTGCCGAAAAAGTCAAACTCTCTTTCGTAGAATTCTTTGGCCGGTCCCGAGAGTGAGTCCACTATTGTATTAGTGATGTGTTCGAGGGGTTCATATAAATCCTCTACAAATGCCAATCGTATATTAATAAAATGATTGCCACAAACCATATGTTGTAAGAAATGTATGCAAACTTACGGTCGGGTTCCTGTTGATCCTCATCCTTATACATATTGGTTTGCATATTCCATATCAACTGATGGGACAGTAGTTGCGATGTCGTGGCCGCCCATCGTATGAATTGCGATATATATCCCATCTATTAGTTAATCATAAATAATGAATACAATAATAATAAAACCGACAATCATTTCATATATGAAACTTACGCTATCGTAACGAACCGCTTGAACCAGTTGTGGAATGCAAAACATTATCACATTCTGTCAAACCATATATTAATTAAATAATTAACAAATCGAGTAATTTAGTTGACAGTTGTCTATAAAAGAGCACAAACCGGATCATAATTGATGAGATTTCGTATCGCATACTGAGCTGTGATCGGATGCGGAGGGTATTGACGAGAGAAGTAGGACAGCGCTTGTATTGGCGAGACTGGAGTCCAGGTGAGCATATGAGTCAACTGTTGTGTTCATTTAAATTAAATTAAATTAATACAAAATGGTTATTAGTATGATCACAACCTCTGGCGAGTCGTGTAAAATGCTTTCAGATGTGACCAAATACTGAAGCGCTTCCGGAATATGACAAACAACTATTGGATTCAAGCGAACCAAACGCGAGATCTCGTCTTTAATCTCATCGGAATTCTTAAATCTATAAAAGAAATGATGCGTTAAATACCAAATGTATTAGCGATTGTATAGATGGTTGACCTGCAGGGGAGGAATACGGCCAGCGTCGGTGATATTTCCCACGCGAGTCGGGCTGTCTCTTTCCACGTGCGTTCAGTGATGGGTTGATTACGCCATTTAGAAATGGTCTCTTCGCCCTGAATGGTGGCTTCGGGTGCGGCGGTCGGGTTGTGCCACGTCATCAACAGCTCTATCTCCAGAGCTAATAAACTGAGAATTAAGTTCCTTTTCCTCACGTAATCCTTAACGAAATAGTCAACAAATATTGAATTCTCTCTGTTTTTGGTCGATATCGAGCCTTTGAAACCCGACGAGCGCTTAGATATGGTCGACATATTGCTATTCAACGGAACGGTGTTTATCCAAGCGGTCGGTGTATTGATACGGCTTTGATTGAACTCAGAACTGGCCCTCAGGTCAGGACTAACACCGGCTAACATCTGTGTCTGCGGCGGTTCGGGCCAAAGACCGTCGTTCAAAAACGACGATTTCAAGTATTTCTTATCCGAATGAAGACTTTGCCAAAAACGGATCAAAGAAGTGATATCTTCTTTAAGTTCGGCGCTCTTTTGCGAAGGAGAGAGTTGTGGTCCACTAAACAAGTGTTGAAATGTTTTAATGCAATAAATGTCAAACACTTTAAGACTTACCAAAAGTAGTCAATGGCTGCCGAATAAACTCGTTCTCTCAAAACTGATTTACTTATAGATTTGGGCAGAATATCAAACTGTACTAAAGAGAGGCCACAATTCAATAGTCTAAACCGGGAACCAATGGTAGCGATATGTCTGGAGCTGTGATGAGTGCGACCGACGGATATGTGAAGCGATCGGTGCAATAGATTGGCAAATATTTCGATCTGATCTAAAGAACTGTATTTCGCGATCTCTATTCTCTCCGTCAAAAACTATAAACACAATGAAAACTCACTTTAAAACAGAGCCCATAATAAGACATATCAAAACTCACTTTAACCCAAAGGCCGTGACCTCCGATGTAAGGAGGGTTTGGTTTGAGAACAACGTTAGAACTCGATGTCAACGGATCAGTTTGCGGCGGATCTGTTGCGAAAAGACCTAATTTCCTATCAATGGTCGCATTCCACGCGGAGGCCATCTCTTCGATAAACTATTATAGCGTTTAATATTAGCTAAAAGTGTGAAAATGATAACCATTTCTGGCAAACCTTAGACTCTAAGTCAGAGCGCGCGGCCAATAACCACTTCCAACACGATATGACGCTCGCAATGGTGTCCTCCGAGAAGAAGAATACGGGCGCCCAACACAAGGCGTGCACTAACTTTCGGTCGCAAACCGGTGTAGCGATGAGTAAAGCAGTGATTTTATACACGCATTCCTGATGTGCTTTAATAGCCATCTCAATGGACGTCTCTTTCAAGTCATTGATTAGCTTTTCAGCCAATTTGTGTTCGTTTTGTTTATTTGATTTATAACTGGAGAGCATTCCCGACACTTCGCCCGCGAAATGTGTCCGAAGACTCATCGATGCGATGAATTCCGAGGAATTGTTTTTTATAAAATTTGGCAAATTATCTAAAGTAGTGACAGAGAGTGGACTCCAATTGGTATTATTGCCCGCAAACGAAGCCATCGACTCGACCACCAAAGAGAGGCCCGAATGCCGTTGAATACCACTCATCGCGTGTTCCATATTTGCCAGATATTCTTGAAGGTGAGACCGGGTTATATTGGGCGCCCATTTAGACGCCTCCTGTATTATGCCCTGACATCGGGCGCCAAAGTCTCGCACAATACTCTGATTTCAAAATGATAATTCTCATTTAAACAAGGTTCGAGAGTAAAGCCATATTATAGGCCATATTAGGGTAGAGCAAATTAGAAATGTTATACACAGACATTGTAAAATATCTAGAGCAGAGTTTATTCGGGAATAAAAACAACCAAATTCGGTCGGGAACCGGCAATAAAACAGTCAAATTCGGGAATAATCGGGAATTAACGTATATTCAGTTTAAACACTATAGATTTAAATCATTTTAAAATGAATCATAGTAGGTAGAATATCATAGAAATTAATATTTTATTCTTTAAGTCTGTCTTCTATGTTATAAAAATATTCTTAAATTAAGAGAAAAAAGTTCAACATCGACAAACTCACTTGTTAGTGCATATTTCAAAATTTTGTGGATTTTCATAAAAAAATTTTTAGTTTTTCTTGAAAAGAGTGTCTTTTTGCCTATTTTGCATAAAATTTTGGGATTTTATTCTAAAATATGTCGAAATCGGGAATATTCGTGAAAATAAAAATAGTAAATTTTTATTCCATTATAACCTCCAAAACTAACTGGATGTTATTCCCAAACATTATATTATCTAATTTTATTCGGGAATTCCCGAAGAATCTCTGCTTTAGAAGTGACTTTAGTTCAAGATATATAAAGTAAACAAATCTGTGTAAAAATGGCACCTTTTATGGTGAGAAAGTTAAGACTACTCTAATCCTAACTTTGGTGTATTCCTTGAGATAAGTATTTCCCAGAGAATTGATTTTAATTCTCACTTTACTGACGGCATGCAAGTTAATGAGTGGGGGGGGGGGGGGGAGCAGCGCGATTCTATAAGCCTCAAATTGAGTGCTGAATTGAGGTTTAATAAATAGTTATTCAAAATGAATACCTCTCGGGCTTCCATAGTATCAGTTAATTGGATGCAGTAATCAGTGTCGGGAACCAGAAGTTCTGGATTGGCTTCGTTTGGATTCAACTCGAGAGCACTGGCGAGCACTTGAAGAATGTTTAACATTGTTGTCAACACTTTACCACTCCATAAAAGGTGTGGGAATTTGTCCACTAAAGCGCTCAAATATCTGTCGGCTACTCTTCGGATCTGTTTCTGTCTGTGATTAAACTTCACCAGAAGTAGAATCGCGTATTCTTCGAGTTCGTTATCACGCAATTTGTTTTTCGGCTTTTTCGACATAATATCCAAGAATACGTTGACCACTACTTTGTCGGCGATACACATAATGCACTGCCAAATGCCGTCTTTGTCCTTCTGAATGGTCGTGTCCTCCAAGTATTGCATCATTACGTCAAATGGATTCATACCAGGGATCAGATTATGGGCGCGGAATGTCTCCAAACGGCACACCGACAAGAGGTACGTGATCTGCGCGAACGTCAGCTTATTTATGATGGAAGTCGCTTCCGATGAGTGGTTCAAATCGGAGATCAACTGATTCCTGATCTCTTGGAGTTCCACTCCAGACACCGCTTCGTTCCTTATGGCGGAATTGAAGTGCAATTCTGAGCGCAAGTGTTCCCGCGATTTAAGCAATGGTGACTTCGAGGCGATCTCTCGAACCCCGCAATACCACTCGCGCGGCCACAAACACGTGCCCGAAGTGAAGCCCAGCACAACACAGTAGAGCCAGAAGTCGCGGAACAGTTTGTGAAGTCTTGGTTTCGGGTTTTCGATATACGGTAATCGACGCATCAGTGAAGCGATCACTGGTATCAAAACACCCAGATTTCCCGCACTACTCGATGCCTTAGCGCCCGCGGGATTCTTCTCGTTAGCTCTCTTACCCTCGAGTCCTAACTGAACAAACAGTTCTAACAGTCGGACCAATAGGTCGAGCTGTTCCGTCTGGTTATCGATTCTGTTGGCAATATTAGTGAACGCATTGATCACTGCGAGAGAGACGTGTCGATAGCGGTTCCGTTCGTCAGTATTGCCCACATTATAGGCAGCGCTCGACTGAATGGTAATCACTGTAAACATTTTCATCACTTCTTCGTAGACGTGTTGATTACAGTCGCTGACGATAACCATTTCGCTCAACTGTTCCACAATCAAAGAGTCTAAATGAGAGGCCGGACGACAAAAGCGTTGCTGAAAGAACTGAAGAATCGATTCCATCGCACGGGGAATATCGCAGAGAGTGAACGCCACCCGACCTAACGCTATGATTGTGTTCATCGACACCAGATTCGACTCCGAGTCACTCTTTTCCGATTGGTATAAACGGTTGGACACCGAAGCGATCGCCGCCTGAATACAGTGCGGATCCACTTGAAGGCCAGCCCTGAGAGCGACACAAAGATTATCGATCGCACTGTTTCTCAATTTGGTGTACACTTGAGAGATGTGAGTGTTTCCCGAAGAGGAGAAGTTTGTGCCCGATTTAAGGGTCAAATTAGGCTCCGACGACACCGTTATACTGAACTGACCGCTCGAGCCCTGAATGTCAATCTGTTGTTTACTTAAGCGCACTAATATAGGCGACGGCAGTATCAGAAAGTCCCGCAACGACGCGATACAAGTGGCCGATATTGTGGGGAATTTTTCTGCCAATTTGCCCAAACCGTCCAAACAGACCATAAGCAACGGCATGTGTGCGATCACCAGTCGGTGGCCGTGCGATGTGTTAATCTTTTCGTTGAGTCGAGTGCAGAGGGCGTCGGCCGCGATCTCATCGCTCGACGACCAGACCAACAGCTCAATGCACGCGGCGTTCGTTTGCACATTGAGTTTAAGACTATTATATATGCAATTCTGGAAATCAGACGACGGCTTATTCATGATTTCCGTTTGGCCCGAAAGGAATAGACATTTAATAAACTCCTGCACTTCACATGTGAATGTTTTGGGCAAATCTGTCGTCATTTATAAATGTGTTAAAACATTAAATGAAACAAAATTAACAAAATTAATTACAAACCAATTCTATGTGAAAGCAGTTCTCTTAATAGAGTGACGGAAACCAAATTTATTATTTCACTAAAGGATTTGTACGGAAAGACTTGTGTTTGGTTTGTCTGTATATAATCAGCAAATAATTGTTATTAGAAATAAATCAAAATTTTTAAATTTATAAAACAAACCGAATATACGCTAAAAGCGATTTCATCCAAAGTTTTCAAAATCTCTTTATTTAATAATTTTTTAGCCAATGAGAGTAATTTCATTAAGTGTTGGAAAGAGATCTCTAGTTTGTGGTCAATTTGTTTGGAAGTGTCGGATGTGTTGGGCTTCAGATGAGTTGACTGACCGGCAAAACAAGTGCCGTATTTAAAGAACAAATAACGCGTTTCATTAGCCGTATCAGTAAATTGGCTATAAGTCGAGATCTGGCTCTGGAAGGAGCCTTTGTTCACAGCACTCATACCGCCAACAGATAGGGCGTCGGCGGCCGTGTCGTGTCCGCTAAGACCCGAACTCCACGTCGGGTTTGCCGACAGACTCGAGAAAGAACGGGGAAATAATTTCTGCAGATTAGGAATCGTATTCTTCTTCGATAGACCTCTGGAAACATTGATTGAGCTGTCGGTGAGGTCTTTACTAGAATCGTGTTGAGACTCATCGGTCTTCGGGGGCAGAGATGGCGGTGGGAATAGACGCAGGAATAGCGGTGTATTGTGGCCGTCATTTGGCGTTCGGCCCAACGCTCGACACAAACCAATATAAATGGGAACAATTGAGTGACAAAATGTGACTAAAAATCAAAGAGAGAAAGAGAATTAAATTGATAGTGATTACATGTTTCAGTGATTATTATGACTGACTTTTGTGCGAATTGTCTTCATTTACAACTTGTTTGGCGTCGAGTATTAGTGAAGTGAGAGATTCAAAACAAACGATTTGTTCGCTTAATATGTGGTCAGAATATTCGGGACAGAAGTACGCGATGTCTGACAGACCGGTGTTCAGACAGAAACTGAATCTCTCGGCAATCGGTATACCTATTGATGGGATAATTATTATCATTATTACACAAATGAGCCATAAATTCAATGACTTGAACAACACTTACGGTCCGATTCGTGGAGTTTTATATTATCGGAAAAGAGGGCGTCTTTTAGATTGTTTAATAATTTCAATAAATACGTGATTATAAGCTGTTTGTGCTGTCCGTCCGTCAGATAAACACAAATTTACATTAATTACCAGACATTGAATGCAATTAAATAAATAATACCTGAAATTGTGATTCAATTAAATATATGATAAGAGCGATGACAGAGTCCTGTCCTCTTTGGTCGATCACTAACTGGCCATCAGTTGTCTCCGCCGACGGACACAACGAGAACAAGACATTCAACTGTTAATCGGGACATAAAGACAATTAAATGCCGATTAATAGCCAATTATGAGTACCTTTTGAGCGGAAAGTGCATTGATTTTGGCCAAAGATCGGGACAAATGTTGGACCGAATGGTAGAAAAAGTTGTTTTCATTATTTAACGGCATTTAAACGACACGTTTTGCACATAAACCGCACATATATTCATATAAATAGATTGCAAAACAATTAATGACAAAATTAGCGATAATTTTAAGCCTAAACTTCAATCAAATGAAAAGTGCATTCAATTCAATGCAAACGTGAAGTGAAGGCAAAAAAGTGTACAGAAATTAAAAAAGTCACTCAAATATTGTGTTTTGGTTTTGCAATGAAAACAAACCTCTCGTTAAACCACTTCTCAATGCCATACACTGTGTGTACACTCTATGCATAGCATTGCATAGCTATTGAGCATTAATATGCCGTATAGACAGTGTGTAGGTATACGAGAGCATCAGTGGTTCAGTGGTAGAATGCTCGCCTGCCACGCGGGCGGCCCGGGTTCGATTCCCGGCTGATGCATATTTTTGCGCACACATATTACATTTATGCTTTTTTGTTTTTATCCTCGTTTGTCATTCAATACTATTGATATTAAAATTAACTTTTATACCCAAATATTTGGTTTATTTTACTTTATTTTATTGCAACATTTCCTGGTCATCCAATTCATCCTTACGTTTAGTTTAAAACCAACTTTGTTTTTACTGTAACGAGTACAACCCGTCAACCACGTTGCCTACTCTTGTTTTCTATCCCCGTCTATAGTTTTCACCTCCCACCCCCTAGTTGTGTAACGGTTGTGATTTTGTGTGTAACGTTGTTTACTTTTAAAATACAATCGCCTTAAGTATATTATTTATTGATATAATGGAAAGTGTTTTAAGACTTCCTTGTTCAAATCTTTTCAGCAAACATTTGGATTTACTTTAATGCTCTCATACTTTAATCCTATTGACAAATACGTTAACTTTTGGAATATACAGTAATTAACTATTGAGCATTAATATGCCGTATAGACAGTGTGTAGGTATACGAGAGCATCAGTGGTTCAGTGGTAGAATGCTCGCCTGCCACGCGGGCGGCCCGGGTTCGATTCCCGGCTGATGCATATTTTTGCCTATGCATATTACATTTATGCTTTTTTTTGTTTTTATCCTCGTTTATCATTCAATACTATTGATATTAAAAATAACTATTATACCCAAATATTTGGTTTATTTTACTTTATTTTATGGCAACATTTCCTGGTCATCCAATTCATCCTTACGTTTAGTTTAAAACCAACTTTGTTTTTACTGTATATATTACCTTTCACAAAATTCTGAAGGAACAAGTTTAGAAAAGTCGTTTGTAAACCTAAATGAAATTACGAGAGTATGAAATTAGGATAACTGTTTATGCAATTGAAAACCTTATATGTCATTAATATTATTTATGGCATAAAATAACTTTCAATTTCTATCGCATTGAATGCGAAGACGTTTAAAAAAATCATTACAAAAACTTTTTCGAATAGCTTTTAAATGAAAAAGGGTTTTATTAAAAAGACTTTATACTTTAATAGTTATTTTACACATAATTAATGATAAAATTATAAATATTATTTTTGAAACGGTCTTAAATTACTTATATTACACGTGACAAATTGTGTTGAGTCCCAACTGAGGGGTGGGGACCGTCGCGGGCGAACCCTTTTCCATGACGATCAGGACGTACTCATAACTATGATTATTGTATTTCCGTTTTATTTCCCGCTTTGGGAGCGGTTTTACAACACGTCCATCAATTTGGGAACAGACGCCGCGTTAGCCGAGTTCCCAAACCTCCCGCCCGGAGGTCTTCCCGGTTGTGGCGCTCTATGCAAGCGTCGAAAGCGGTCCGCATTTGAGCGCCGTTTCGGTCGCCAATTGTTTGAATACGACGAGCAAATGATTTATTTTCTCATTGAATTGATCGCCGCCTTCCCGGTGCCCATCATTCCCAACCCTTACGCCGACGCCAATAAGAAACCCATCCGTCAGAGAGAAGACACGGGCTTTGATCCATTGCCAGGTTTTGATGGTCTCAAAGAGTTGGCCGGTTTGATATGCGACACGTGTTTGATTTATAAGTTATTAATACTAAACGATAACATTTTATAGGTTTATTGGGAATGGGAGGTAAGAGTGAACCGCGAGATAAATATTATGAAACTAATGGCACCGATGAAATCCCCGCTGCAGAGCATAACAATCACTTTAATAAATTTAATTCATATGGAAATAGTGATGAAATGACACCAGAAGACGACTCACCGACACCTACGGACCCGATCGGAGAGTCATCTCAAACAATATTAACAAAAACAAAAACATTCACCGCTTTATCTCAACAAATGGGAAGAAGTTTTAAAGAAGACCAACATTTGCCTAACAAAACAAATGCTAGAAATCTTTGTTTTAATCATAAATTCAATGTTCAGTCGTCTCGTAGTCTTAAAGAAAATTGTTTTTTAAATGAGAAAAATAGTTACAAATTAAGTGCTTATGAATCGGTGACTATTGACAAAAAACAAATGGTGTCTAAACTGAACATAAATTCAATGTTCAGTCGTCTCGTAGTCTTAAAGAAAATTGTTTTTTAAATGAGAAAAATAGTTACAAATTAAGTGCTTATGAATCGGTGACTATTGACAAAAAACAAATGGTGTCTAAACTGACACTGAATTGGTCTTCAGTAATATCTGCTATGAGTTGCCATTTCACAGAATGGTATCTCAAGAACAAAGTTAATTATTTTGTAAGAAATGTATTTTTTGGTTCACTGAAGACTATTTGCAAAAATAGTCGTTTGGCTGCGGTTTTCACTGTATTCACCAAATTTTGCAATTGTTTGACATTAAAGAAAATTATTTCAAACTAATTTAAGAGACATTAACAGGAAGTTCCTAATAGTTGTAAGAGAAAGTTTTCCGTACAAAATATATTGCGAAATACATTAATAAAAAATGAAAGGAATCAAGTATTGGAAAATATAATCATTGTTTATATTCATACAAATTAGTTTATTATATTTACAAATTACAGTTAATATTTATTTATAAATTAGTCAATTATACCATACATTGAGAACCAATATTTACTGGTTACATTCTCAATGTTGTACTGTACTATATTTTTAATGAATAAAACTATTGTTAACTTCAAATATTTGAGTTCAGATATTTGACTTTAAACCATTAACTGTATTGTACTAGTATACACTGGTGTGCATACAATGTATGCGGTATATTCTGGCCACTAAAGGTTTTGTTTCACCCAATTGTGTATTTTGTGATCTGAAAGCTTAACATAATTGCTACACATCTGAACATCACATTCAGAATTACACCTTTAATGATAAAAATCAGTTTCAATACTTTTATTAACAAATATTTAGATTTGAATTCATTTTAAATCAAAAATAAGTACAAGAATTTGGTTTTGTTTTGTAGACAAAAGCAAATATACATTTGATTTTCATATGAATTCAAGTTTTGCTTCGTTTGTCTGTAATCGCGGAACCAGTTTTTGATGAACCAGTATCTGAAGCACCCGTTTTCGAAGAAGTCATTTGAGATCCAGTTTTGGATGCGATGGCAGAACCACCAGCTTTTGATCCGGCCGTTGAAGTCGTCATTTTAGAGTTGATTGCGGATCCGGCCGTAGATTTGCCCGCAGATGAGCCCACAGAAGATTTGCCAACAGATGAACCCGTCTTTGAACCCGTCGACGACGCGCCCACTTTTGAAGTACCCGCCGAAGAACCGGCCGAAGAGCCCACAGCCGAACCCACTCTTGAACCCGTCGCCGAAGAGCCCACCGCTGAAGAACCCATTGCTGACGAACCGGTAGCCGATGAGCCGACAGCTGAAGATCCCATTCCACTAATGGACGAACCCGTTCCTGAAGTGCCCGACATTGCAGATCCACCCTTTGATCCCGAGCCCGATATAGTGGAGCCGACACTCGAACCTCCGGCAGTCGAACCGGCTTTGGAACCGGTGGCCGACGATCCCGTGGCCGACGTTCCCGAAGGTTTGCCGAAAGCTTTTGAGCCCATCTTTTCATCGATTTTGGAACCTTTCGCTTGACTCGCCTTCGATTGAATGGCTGAACCCGTCTGTGAGGGCGAGGGTTCCTCTCCAGCCTCTGCCGCGGCCTCCGGTGCCGCCCCTTCTTGTTGTTCTGTTCCTCCCTCTTCTTCCTCTGCCTTTTTGCCACAACAGCCGCCCATTCTTATCTCTTCACAAATAGTAATTTATATGACAATCGACTCAAAACGGATAACCGATTTGAGAATCAATGTTAAAATAAACACTTTTATGATTTGTATTCAAAAGTGAATAAAAGATCAGTCGTGTGAAGAGTGGTTGCAGTCAAAGAGTTCTCTCATTTTCATCACTGCCTCTCACTTATGACTGACTTATTGTAAAAGTTTTTGTTTTTTTGTTTGTATGAAATTCTTCTCATTTTTCACTTAAATTTCCAATTATTTTGTAAATAAAAAGTTTTCAAATGATTAAACATTTCGTAAATAAACCTTTTTTTGACCCAAAGTTTCTTTTATAAATTGTTTTGATTGAAATGGAAATTCATTTTAGGTTCAAATATTATATTTTCATTACATAATGAGACTTAAAATAGTAATCGTAAACAATATATCATTAAAAATTAATAATTTATTATAAAATATGTTATTAAAGATAAATAAAATTAAAACTAATAATTGATTAAAATTAAATAAATCTCTAATTGGTTTTGATTTCAATGCATCAGTTATTAAAAATCTATGATTACTATATGGTTGTGGATTATTACTTAAATCTCATGTTTTCAACAATCCTTTTATTCACTTTTGAATACAAATCATAAAAGTGTTTATTTTAACATTGATTCTCAAATCGGTTATCCGTTTTGAGTCGATTGTCATATAAATTACTAGAAGTGAAGACATAAGACATGGGCGGCT